ATGGAAGGAATTTGTCAAAAGTCTAGAACATACAAATCTGGAGAAGGGAATTTCGTGTGCAAGATATTGGAGTTTAATTCTTGAACACGTGTATGAAAAAGAAGAAATTTCGATGCTGTCAAATGTTGAAGTTGCTGAATTTTCTTTCTATCAATTTCCCAAAGTTGTAGAAGATGATGAAGCGATCTTTACACATATGGCTCGTATTCCAGACGTGATGCTTCGCAAAGTCTCTCCCACCCACAAAATTTTGGTGAGATATTTGCGAACTGTTGATACAGATGAGCCAACTGGAGTTTTATTAGATGTTTCAACTCCATCTAAAACAAAGAAGGCTAGCAAGAAACTTGCGAAGGGTTCATCATCATTAGTACCAGCTGAAGTCATCTCAACGGAGGAACCTTCCAAGAAGTCGAAGAAGGAACTCTTACCTTCCAAGTCTGGGGTATTGAAGCAGATTCGCAAAGCGGAAGTGAGTTGTAAAGGTGTTACTGTTCGCAATATTCCAGCCCCAGTATCTCCCACAAAGAAGCGACAACGAGCTGAAGACGTTGTGAAAAACATGCAACGTACAATGGTAAAGCGAAGGAAGATGGTCATTCGTAATGAATCATCTGAAGAAGAAATTGTCCGAGAAACTCCACCTGTCACCACAATGGTACCTATTTCTTTACCTATCATTCCCACTTCGCAAATTTCTACCACTACCTCCCAAACCAAACCACTCGAAATAGTTCTTACCAAATCAGTTACTGAGGAGGTTCCTATTTCTGATATGGTTGTCAACGTATCTGATACGGGGGCACCTATCCTGAGTGTTGCACCATCCATTCAAACAACTTTACCCATTTCCTTACTTGTTACCACTTTATCTACCACTTCAAACATTATTGACCATGCTCTTCAAAACCCTTTCACCACACTTTTTCCTTCACAATCACCAGAAAATCCTCAACCTTCGCAACCTTCGCAACCAATGTCTGATCCAGAATTCGAAGGAGGTGCTTTTGGTAGGATACTTGATGATATTCCTTTTGATTCAGATGAAGAAGATATTCCTGATCATATGCTGATGACAGGAAAACAGTTTAAAATACTGAATCAAAAGTTGAAGACCATTATTCAATCACAGGCTGACAGGTTGAATGTCGTCAATATCTGCCATGGAGGTTGATATCATGATCAAAGGAGCAGAAAAACGAATAATGGAGAAAATTGCTCAATCTGATAAAAACAATGAGCTCAGAATTATGTCTCAAGGAAATAATTTTAATTCTGTAGTTCAAGATCTTCGCGCAGTTACAAAAGAACGTCATGTTCTTTTTGTACAAGATGTTAAAAAGGTTCGTGAAGACGTCAACTTCAAAATTTAGGAGTTTAAGTCTGAACTTGCGAAGGATCTTCACGATGTTTACAACAAACAAGACGCAGTTCAACTGCAAATTATGTATATTTCTTCTCAGCTTCAAAAGCTGCATAATATTCCTGTTCTTGCCGATCATAAAGCAGAAATAATGATGAAATTTGATCAGCTCATCCAGTTGGTCACTGATCTAAAAACAGCTCTTTCGCATTCTTCCTCCTCTCAAATTCTTACTCCAGAATTCTTCTCTCTAAAGATTAATACTTTAGAACAAGCTATTCACAAAGCCCTTACTCCACTAACAAATTTCACTTCTTTACTTCCAAAGAGTGCTCCGCCTGTTTCCACAGGGGTGCAAGGGGGAGAAGAAAGACGAAGCAAAGAAGAGGATGCGAAAACTGTGGGAAAAGTGATATCGACTCAGCTTGTTGCTACTCTTCCGATTCCTTCAAAGCCGATTTCTGCAACAACAATCACCACAAGAACAATTACCAAGGGTATTGTTATTGGAAGAAATGAAGGTGGTTCAAGCTCAAAACCCCAACATGATGTTGTAGGAAGAGGAAAAGGAATTTTATATGAAAAATCAAAAGAAGAGTTGAAAGCAGAGGCTGAGGCTGAGATGGAGAAGATGAGGCAAGTCCAGAGCATTATGAGGCAACGGGCAAGTGATCCTCCCTCCATGAACAAAGGAGATCCTGCAAAACTTTACTCTTACGAAACCATAGAGTCAAAAGTTGTGTGTAGGGAGATGTATGAGTTCGAGAAAAAGCCGAAGAGAAGTTATGATATTGCGAACTCAGATCACTGCCAGTTGGACTTCCCCATTAATGAAATGCTATTCATCAATGCACAATACAAGATCAGTGAGAAATTTGATAATCCGAATGATTATACTCAAATGAAAATCAGATTTCATGCTGTCTTGGGGAAGAATCCTGATGAAGTTTGGTCGTCAATGAAGATCGAGAAGGTTGTGACGATAAAGAAAGATATTATGTTTGAAGAGATGTTACAGAATTTCAGATACTTTGTTATCAGAGCTGACAACAAACAATATGACTTCACAGTTGCTGACTTTCCTTTGATGAATTGCAATGACTTGATTCAAGTAGCACTGATTTTGAAACATATGGAAGAAAACAATCTCAAAGGCTCTGATACAGATGTGTTCAAAGCTGGCTTCGCACATGTGAAGAATTTCATAGACAATTACTTCGATTGTCTAGTCCTTACTGATGTTGAATTAGCACATGTTGTGGGAAGGGAAGTGAAAGTTCCATGGGAGGAGACTTTGACACAATCTGCTTTGTCAAAGTATGCTGTTGGAGAAATTTGCTTAAAACCATTTGGTATGGTGTTTTCAGGCAGAGAAACAAAAGGTAATCCGAAGAAATTTTTGTTCAAGGTCTCAGAGATTGAAAGATATAATTCTTCGCAATATACGCACTTCATTGTACGTATGAACAATTGCAAGAAAAACAACGAAGGAGGCAAGAAGGATTTGAAGAAGGTGATCTCCTGGTATGGAGAGGTGCGAAAGGCAATTCACTCTGCAATTCAAAAGCTTATGAGTTTAATTGTATCGACTGTTTACAAAGGGGGAGAATGTTGATGTGTATTGTAAAAGTCGAATAGAGTGTTTTGTATAGTTTCGAATTTTGTGTTATTTTACTAAGTCATCTTTTGTGCCAAGTTATAATGTATAGACTTAGTATACTTTTTGATTGTTCCCTATAAATAGGGACTTAGGCTAGAAGTTGTAGTTCGATACTTGAACTCACTTCTGCTTAACATTGTAATCAGACTTTATCAATATAAGATCTGTTAATATTTACTCTCGGTGTTCTTCATCTTAAATCATTCAAATCTATCTTTACTTTTCTAAATTCTCGATAACAATTCTCATCAGTTTGGGGGATAATAATAGTTCTCTGCTTCCAAGGAGATAGTTGATGGGACCCTGGAATGGTATTACAAAGATTGTAAATAATCTTAAAGATAAGGGCTTTGACTTCCATAACCTAGCTCCGGTTAGAATTGGTGATGGGGCGTTTACTTCCTTTTGGCATGATAAGTGGCGAGGCAATAATCCTCTTTCGATTTCCTTTCATCGAGTCTTTGCTTTGGATATGAACCGTTCAGCTAATGTCACGGATCGTTACTTAATTGGGTGGAATACAGATAATCTTAGGCGAATGCCTAGAGGCGGGATTGAAGAAACTCAATGGACGTCTTTCTTGGAAGTGGCGCAGGGGGTAGAACTAAAGGAGGTCTCGGATACATTGGGTTGGTCTCTTGAAAGTTCCGATTCTTTTTCTGTTTCTTTGGTAAGGTATGCTTTAGATAGTGGTCTGGTGCCTTTGGGCGACAGGGGCACTTGGTGGAATAATTGGGTTCCTATTAAGCTCAATATTATTGTTTGGAGAATTAAGCTTTCTAGTATTCCTACGAGTGAGAGGTTATCGAGTAGAGGTGTTCTGGTCCGGTCTATTATGTGCCCTATTTGCATTGTTGCAGCCGAGACTATAGATCATATTTTCTTTGGTTGCCATGAACTACGAGATATTTGGGGTAGGGTGGCTATATGTTGGGGGGGTTTCTCTTCCCTCCTAGTTTTCGGTGCAAGCCCTACTTAATTGGTCGGATGGTGTGAAAGAGGTCAAAGAAAGGCGTTTGATGCGGTCATTATTACTTCCTTTTGGTGCTTATGGAGTTTTCGTAATATGATTGTTTTTGGAACGGTTTTACCAAAAAAAGTCGGGTATTTTTGATGATGTTGTTAAGAAATCATTATTTTGGATTTCCAATCGATGTAGTAGGGTAAGGTTAAATGGGACGAAGTGGTTTCATAACTCCTCTCTTGCTACTTTTCTCATGTAATCTTTTCCAAGCTCCTTGCTAGTTTTTATTTTTTAATAAAATTTTGACGTTCCAAAAAAAAAAAAAAAAAAAAAAAAAAAAAACCGTTCGTGAATTATATAATATGCCAAAATATTCGTTTATGTTCATTAATGGACGTGATAAAGAAATTGGGTGTTATTTAAATGAACCCACATAAACAATGGTATCTGTGTTCGCTTGATTCAAGTTCTTATTAAGTTTTATATTTTATAAAAATATTTTAAGTGACATTGCTAATTATGATAGAAAAACGTAATAGAAGCTTTTCAGCGATAGTTTATCATAAATTTGAAACCTTTTTAATTAAAAAAAGGATAATCCTATTTATCCATTTCAATATAGGATTGGGAACAGAATTAGTTGAATGACTTCTTCAAACAAAGGGTAGCATTTAAAAAACCCCACAAATTAATTATAAACAAAATATCACGTCTATATGAAACAAAAAGAATTTTAAAAGTTAAAATAAATAAATAATAGAATAAGTTTTTAAAAACAAATTAACAAGATTGAAAAGTAACGGCACATCATGTCATAATTAGCTAATAATTATTAGTGTAAAAAGAATTCTTATTGTGCAAATAGATTTCTCCTTTCGAAATATGGAAAAAAAAAAAAAAAATGTGAATAGTGGTTTATATGTCTTAATCACGAGTGGTGGATTTGTAGGCCTATATAAATGAATAGCACGAAGGCAAGGCAGCTGCAAAACAAATACAAAAGAAAGAGAACCATGGAAGGAAAAAATATCTTACATATGAATACTGGCAATGGAGAATTAAGCTATGCCCGTAACTCGCTTCTTCAGGTCTCTCTTACTCTTCTTGATTACGTATATACATATTGAAATATGGTTGTTTTAGATTCTCCTACATCGTATACATACAAATATGGGTTTATATATTGAGGCCGATGCAATGTACATAAAGCAACTAACTAAAGAAGTGTCCTAATAAGTTAAACATGCATGCATGAGTCTGAGGTTATTGTATTCTTATTTTCTTTCCAGGAATCTGTGACAAGGAAAGCTCTTTCAGTTTTAAATCTTGCAATCAAGAATATGGCTGATCTTGGCATCATCTTCAGTCAGTGTGTCAAGATAGCAGATATGGGATGCTCCTCTAGTGTAAATTCACTATTGGTTGCATCCAACATTATCGATATAGTCAACAAGCTGTGTGAAGAAAATAATCAAAAAGCACCACAGTTTGAATTTTACTTAAATGACCTTTTCGGAAATGATTTCAATACCATTATCAAAATGATACCCAACTTCTATTCAAACCTTAAGAAGGATCAGGGAGAACATTCTGGCCATTGTTTTGTTTCAGCTACCCCTGGTTCATTTTATGGCAGACTCTTTCCAGACCAAAGCATGCACCTTGTTCACTCCTCTTACTGTCTTCATTGGCTTTCTCAGGTTCGCGTAATATCTAACTTATTGTACATTTATTCATCTGTACTTTATGTAAAAAGTTATATATTACTAGCTCTCTCACCCTTTGTAAATAAACTTTTCCAATCATTTGAAGGCAAAGGACTATATTTAACAACTAATTCAACTCGTGTTAGTTGTTTTTGGAAAATTTGGAATTGTTTTGCTGCTGGATACTATCTGGTTGCTACAAAAAAAAAAAAAAAAAAAAAAAAAAAGTTGGTTTTGGCAAAAATATTGACAAAAATCAAATAATACAAAACCCGTAAATTCATATTTTCCATATTTCAATAAAACATTAAATCAAAGATAGATCCAGATAAAAGTTTATCTGGTTATTAGATGGGAAAATGACTTACAAGTCCAACGAAGTTTCCAAACCGTTCAAAAAACTCAATCATGTTTTGTTTGTTCAGAAAAAACCCAACAAACTTAACATTTGTCTAAAAAAGCTCAACTATTTTACATTTTTATTCAATTCTACGGAAGTCACCATATTGGGAAAATGTCTTGTAAGACCAACAAAGTTTTAAAACCGTTCAAAAAACCTCAATCATGTTTTGTGTGTTCATAAAAACCCAATGAGTTTAACATTTTGAACAGACAAAAAATAATTGGGATTTTTTGAACGGTTTGAAAACTTTATTGGTTACAAGCCATTTTCCCTTATTAGATCCTTTGGTTTAGTTTTAGGTCTGATAAAAAATTCATAGTTTCCGGGGTACGTGCATGCCACAAGAACCAAATAAGATCCAAGTTATGTTATCATGTACTCTTGAAGATATATAAATTATATGGTTCATTTGTTGATGTGATATGTGATACAGGCACCTGAAGGTATTGAAAACAACACAACGAATATATACATCGCCAAATCAAGTCCCCCAAATGTGTTTGAAGCATACGAAAAGCAATTTCAGAACGACTTTAGAAACTTTTTACAGGTACGCTCTCAGGAAATAGTACGAGGTGGATGCATGGTATTAACTTTTCTTGGTCGGAGTATGGCTGACCCAACCTGTGATGATTGTATCTATCTTTGGCATCTACTAGGGCTATCACTTCTAGATTTGCTAAAAGAGGTATAAGGTTCTCTTGTTCTCCATACGTATACAGATTCCTTTCAACTACTAACTATTGGTATTTGCTTAACCAAATTCCATAGGGATTGATCCAAGAATCAGATTTGAGCTCATTCAATATGCCATACTATACTCCATACGAGGATGAAGTTAGGAATATTATTAGAAATGAAGGGTCGTTCTCTCTTGACACCTTGAATGTTTTTCAAGTCAACTGGTATCCAATCAAGACGAATGATGATGATGATGCAAATGCAAAAGATTTTAATGAGCCAAGCCATATCTATGGGAAAAAGACAGCAAAAGCCATTAGAGCTGCTGTGGAACCATTTTTGACGTCTCATTTTGGAAATTCCATTATGGATGTCCTATTTAAAAGGTATGCAAAGCATGTGGCGTTACATCTAGCTAAAAAGAATACAGGACACTTTAGTCTTGTCATTTCATTGTCAAAAAAATAAACTATTCGTGTGCTCAAAATCTCTTTGCTGTTTCAAGTTTGCTTATTGCTATGTTTTCAATAAATGCACAACTGTGTCTGTAATTTGTTGGCTTCATATTAATTGGAGTGTTATCCATGTATAATAAACGAAACTATGCTTGTATTCAGTAATTCTATTTGTATCTTTGTTTTATGCTAGTATCTTGCTAGTTCTAATGTATTCGCCGTTAAAAAAAATCTATGTATAATAAGTTTTCCTTGTAAAATGTGTGTAGCTGATGCATATTTGTATACATATTCATAATTATATACATTTCCGATGTTGCTCACCTTTTGTTCACTGTCATTAAGCACCTCAATCATCACATTTAGTTTTTTTTTTTTTTTTTTTTTTTTTTTGGAACCGACAATTTTATTGTAAGACACTCACTAGCAAGTCACTAGTGAGACTCACATATTACATTATATTACATAAAAAGGAAAGGGGATTTTGTCCATTCACCCCATATAGAATTTCCTTTCCCATATCTATGTTTAATCCATGCATAAACCATGTATTTTACTCCTTCAAACACCAGATCTGGGTTGATAAATCTTAAGTTGAAGATTCTATCATTTCTTGTTTTCCACATATACCATAATGTACCAAAAATGATTATGTTAATTGCTCTCCTCTTTTTTGGGGGATGTCTAGCTACACTCTGCTGCAAAGTTTAAGATCCCCGGATAGTTGGCGAGGCATGATACCACACCAATTCCATTTCCGGTTCCAAATTGTAACTGCAAACGGGCAAGTGATCAGCATATGATCTGTGGACTCTGTATCTGAGATACAAGCGTTGCAGTTTAATGTATGTATCTATACTCCTCGCGTAATAAGGGTGTTCACTGATGGAATCCAATCCAACCTTGCTCTCCACACAAAACAGTTCACTTTGAACGGGATCCAGTTGCACCACATAAAGGCTTCATCAGGTATCGAGTGGCTTGCCCGCTCGATCCTTCCTATTAGAGGGACGACTCTAAATTTCCCATCAAACACAAAGTTTGAATCCCATCCCGTATCCACCTGTTTCCATCGAATCACTTCCGTGTTTGCAATGGAAAATTTGTTTCCATCGAATCACTTCCGTGTTTGCAATGGAAAATTTACCAATAGAACTTTTACATTTATCAATGTTCCGCCAAACTTCGCTTAGGTACCTGGAAGATATCTGATTAGGCTGAATCATATCAAGACTGTATAGACCCTTTATGATCTTAACCCATAAGGAGTCGCCTTCATTGACAATTCTCCATTTCCATTTTGCTAATAAAGCTATGTTCAATGCTTTTATGGCACCGAGACTTATGCCATCCACCTCCTTAGGTGCTATAATTATATCCCAGGCCACCCACTTAATTTTTGATTCATTTTCTGGACCTCCCCAAATGAAATTTCTCCTGATTTTCTCTAAAGCCTCAATAACCCCCGATGGAGCAGCAAACAATGATAAATAAAATGTGGGGAGATTACCCAAAACTGCCTTTGTTAGAGTCACCCTCCCACCAAAACTCAAGGTCTTTGCCTTCCATCCAGAAAGTTTATTTCTGAATTTTTCAAGTATCGGGTTCCAAGAGCTTTTCCTGTCCATATTCCTCCCCACTGGCATCCCAAGGTAAGTGAATGGCAGTGCACTAGGCTCACATCCTAACGGTAATGCTCCATTTTCAACCTGTTGAGAATTAACAGATATGCCAAAAACTTTCGATTTATTAAAGTTAACCCTTAAGCCGAAAGACACTTGGAAACACTTAAGAATCCTTGCGAGGTTTTTAATATTTTGGCTAGACCATTCGCCAATGAAAAGGGCATCATCCGCGTAGAATAGATGTGATACTTTAATATCAGAATTTGGAATAGATATACCTTGAAAGACACCTTTGGCCACTGCTTCCTTTATTGCTATATTCAACCCTTCCATGGCCAATATAAAGAGAAATGGAAAAAGATGGTCTCCTTGCCTCACTCCTTTTTCAAGTTGAAACTCCGCAGTTAGACTACCGTTAACCAACATCGAGGCCCTAGCCGACTCCAAACATCCTTTTATCCAAGTCCTCCATTTTATTCTGAAGTTCATCTGTTGCGTCATAGAATCGATGAATTTCCAATTTACCGAGTCAAAAGCTTTATTAAAATCTGCTTTGAAGAGCAAAATCCTCTTATTGATCATCTTCCCCCATGAACACAGCTCGTTAACTATAAGCGGTCCTTCAAGAATATTCCGCCCTTCCATAAACGTAGTTTAAACTTCATCAATACATTCACCAAGCACTAATCGGATCCTTGAGGCTAGGATTTTCGCTATTATTTTGTATAATGAGCCAATAAGACTAATTAGCCTGTAATCACCAAGGGATAGAGGATCTTTGACCTTAGCTGCCAGTGTTATGAACTAAGAATTACATCCCTAGGACGGTATACACCACTTCTCAAAATGTTTCACATACGCAATAATATCCTCCTTCAAAATCTCCCAATATTTTTTCAGGAAATTGAAAGTGAAACCATCCGGCCCGGGAGCCTTATCATTCCCACACAACCGTTTTCACTTCATCTTCAGATATACATCCTTCTAAAAACCCACTGCTAGTACTAGAAAGCTTTTTAGATCTGTTACTTCTGAATTCCGGTCTTGTCTTCCATTGCTCTTTAAATTTTGCCGAGAAAAACTTAAAGACTTCATCTTTAATCTTGCCTGGTTGACTTGTCCACCGACCATTTAGCATGAGGCCGTTTATAGTATTTTTTATGTTCCGATTGTTTACAAAACCATGAAAAAATTTGGTATTTTCATCCCCATCAGTCAACCATTTTAATCTAGACTTTTGTCTCAAATCCATGCTCACCATTTTCTCCAGTTTTGAAAGTCTACAGGATAATCCAACCCGTTCTTGTATTTCAGATTTCTGTAATTCCTTCCTTTCAGCCTTTTTACCCATTTCAATCAATCTTCCTTTAATCTTCGATATCTCAATAGCCTCCAGTTACTAATTTTGTTTTTTAAGAACTTCAACTTATTAAGAAAATATAGATCAGGTGCCCTATATTTAGTTATCTATATATAACAAGTTTTCCTAAAATGTGTGGCCAGCTCTGTTCCTAATAGATGATATTAGCATGCTTACTTATAATTGGATTAAGAATTGATCTAAATTAAAAAAAATTTGATTGACATGTTTGGTTTATCTATCCTCTTGCTTTCTCTGTTCTTACGCTTGAGTTCCTCGATTAAGTTTTGCTTTTTTTTGATGTTTAATAATATTTGCCTGCTGTTAAATAAAACCTTATCCTCATTTAAAAGGGTTAGGAAGATAGATAAGAATTGAAGAATAAGTAGCTAGGAGGATATTTAATTTCTCATTACATATTATCATGTATTTTTTTTCATGCAATGGATCGGAACAAGTTTTATTTATTATATGTATATAAAAAACAAAAATAATAAAGACAATATATACATTGTATCATATTGATACATAGATATTGATTATATTGTCAAAGCTTCTTTCCTTCATAATAAAAATTTATGATCTATTAATTGAGATAAAATATAGTATATGTTATATTATTTTGAAATATATAATTACAAGTTAGAATAAAAGAAATAAAAAAAAGAGGATAAAGAAAAACAAAGGAAAGAGAAAATAAAGGAGAGGAGGAGAAAATATAAATCATTAAAAATTCCTAAAATTTGAAAAACAATTATAAATTTAACTGTATAAGGGTATGTAATGTGTATAAATAAACATAAATATAGTAGTAGAGAGAAAATGGTAAGAGAAGAGAAAATATAAATTATTAATTTTTTTAATAGAAAATATAATCTATTTTTAAATTATATTTTTTAATTATATTCATGTCTACAACTGTACTTGAACCATCAATCTTTAGGAGGGAGCGTAATAACTAATACCGCTAGATTAGAAGTCATTTGGTATATAAATCATTAAATAGTCTTAAATTTTGAAAAAGGCTGTTTATGGACTGAAGTGTACTAGGATAAAGTGTATAAATATGTGATGTTCCAAAACTTACAAAGATATCTTTGATTTTTAACGTAAAATAATCATAGAAACTAAAGAACGGAAGGAGAAGGCTCCCAAGCAAATAAGAAATTGTACCAAGAGCATGCACCTAAAAAGATTTCACGAACTGCAAACCCAAGATGTCCATGGGAACGAGGGAGTTGTAGGACATACCAGGTGGATCGAGAAGACGGAGTCTGTCTTCGAGATCAGCTCATGTGCTTAGAAAAGCAAGTTCAAGTTTTTCGCCTGCACATTCACAGACATGGTTATGTCTTGGTGGAATGGCCATGTCAAGACTCAAGGTCTTGTCAATGCCAATGCTATATGTTGGGAGCAATTGAAACAAATGCTCTTCAAGGATTATTGTCCTCGGGAGGAGATGAAGCAACTAGAGCAGGAACTATGGAACTTAACAATGAGCGATGTCGAAATCTCGACCTACACCAACAATGTAGCACTCGGATCCTGGTATGTAATTTATTTTGTTGTATTTTGCATTTTTGGCCTAGGGCTCGACGAGTTGAAGGCCCAACTCGTTGAGTAGGAGTGGGACTGGACACGGGACTTAAGTGATGGACTCGTCGAGTCTGCAGCCAGACTCGACGAGTAGGCTCTGACCGGACAAAAAAACCCTAATATGAGGGTTTACACCCTATTTAATCATCTCTTTCAGCCACCACCCGTCCCTATTTCTCCCAAAGACCCTCCATAGTAAACCCTAAGTGTTTTGGTGCATGATATAAGGCTTTTGAGCGATTTTTGTGGGTTTTAACCTCAAGGAAGAAGGAAGAGCATAGAAGGATCAAGAGGAGGCTAAAGGATTCAAGTTTTGTTTATCATTTGTAGTCTTTGAAAGATATAAAGTATGTACCTTGCTTGTTTATTTTCCAGATCCCTTTTAGGGAAGATTTAGGGCTTTTAAGCCATATGAGGTGACCAACCATGATTTGCAAACATGGTTAGGAGTAATAAATTCGTATCTAGCACTTGGGAAGAGTCACAAGACAGATTTGGGTTGCTTTTGCACCAAAGGAAGGCCCCATGCAACAAAAGAGCCATTTTAGAGCCTTTTTGGCTTAAAAGTCCCATGCATGCACGTAAAGTTCATAACTTTACGTGCTAGATCGAGCTTAGGGGTCTGGATCTATCATTTGGTCAAGTGTTGTACATCAGAAATCGAGGATTTAGAGTATGGACGTTATCGACTTGCTGAGTCCGTTCTTGGGACTCGACGAGTCCAAGGGTTTGAGTCCCATATCTGTTGATGGTAGAAAGGACTCAATTGGGTGTTAGAAGGGTTGTAGCAGGACAGAAGGAGTGACCCAATGCATTGGACTTAGTTTTAGACCTGGAGTTCATGGGACTTGACGAGTGCTAGAACAGACTCGGCGAGTCCAAGGCAATCTCCTTATGTTTGAAGATAAACTTGATGGGTTGTTCATACAACTCGGCGAGTCAAGGTCATGACTTATTCATCATATGAAGGTCAACTCGACGAGTTGTTCATACAACTCGGCGAGTTAGATGAAGGTTCATTGATGTTCGTAAAGAAGGGGAACTTGTTGATTCGTTGCCAAACTCGACGAGTTGAGTCATGGATAGGGACGAGTAAAGGGTAGGGACTCTACGAGTTGACAGCCCAACTCGGCGAGTCGGGTCAGCTGAAAGTTGACTTTGACTTGAACATGGTTAGGGGTAAAATAGTTATTTTACCCTAAGAGTACATATCAGATTCTGACTGAGTGTTTTGTGGGGATTATAGCCGGAGGGTTTCCAGAGCAGCAACAAACAGAGGTTTCCCATGCAGATTATTAGCAGTTACTCATACGAGGTGAGTTACCTTCCAGTAAGGGTGGGTCTAACACCACAATGCCATCCCACCAAAGAGGAATAATTAGGAGATGATTGTCTTTATGATAATTATCTTGGTCTTGTTATGTGCCTTGGTTATGAGATTTATCTGTATGATATGTAATGTGTATAGTAGGGATCAGTTCCCTTGACAGCGGTCCTTAGGACCAAAGGGTAGATCAGTACCCGGATATGCCTGATTGTATTTTATGTCTTGATGTTGTATTCTAGTGGTAAGGGGTGGAATAGTACCCGATTATCGGTTCAAAGATACTGA